TTGTATCAATTGGCTACCATAACTAACCAGATCATAAAAATTCTACTTTTTTTTTTCACAACACATAAAGCTACAAAAAAAATACATAAATAATATTTGAAAAAAAGAACCCAATTTGATCATAACAATTACTAAATTTGGGTTTTTTTAAGACCATGAACTCTTGTGACAAATCATTCGTCCAAACTATAAAAATCATTTTTCAAATCAAGAATCATCTTGTTTTTCAAATCGCAAGTACGTGGACGTTGATTCTCAAGTCTAGAGTTGTCTTATGCCCTTGCTTGTTCCAACAAATTTCATAAACAACTCGGTCCATGTTCTTTTCCTAGCATTAGAACAAAGTTTAGTTTGGTTCTTGTCTTTTTTCTTGAAACAAAACCAAAGAAAACGACATTAGGTCACCAAAAGAGCAAATTAACATCATCATTGAAACAAAATCACATGCCTTATTCTTTGAGGCATTTTCAAAAACACCTTCTAGGTCAAAAAAAATATTGTGTTCTTCTTAAGCGTGTCTTCATCAAAACACATAAACACATATCAGGACTTTTCATTGATGCTTTATTGCTTCGTCAAATAGGTAGTCCAGTTTTAAAAGCAAGGCAATCTCAGTTTTCCTCCCTTCTGGTATCAGCTTCACAGTCTTAATTAGGAACCCATCAACATCGTTGATAGCTTCACATTCTCTTATTAATTACAGACCTCAATTTGAAGATGAAAAATAGATTAAGATGTAATCGGCAACATCAACAATTTGGAACATGGAGAAGCTTGATGGCATATTCAAAGTCAGCGGTTTGGAAGAATTATTAAGTAGCGAGGAAGATGAATCGTGAAGAAGAAGTGAGGGCGTGAAAAGGAAACCAGATATAGGTTGAAATGCGGTATGGTTGCAACCCATATAAAGCCAGGTCACCCAAAGAACCCAATCTGATGAAGAGCCATAAACCATAAATAAGTGTAGGTCGGTATTTAGCCTACCAGGATATATTGACTACATAGTGTAACATTCAACTTTATGGGTATGTTCCTGTTTACCGCTAGGTGTAAAATTTCTTTCATCATTGGTCCATAATCGAGTATGTTGGGCGTACTAGCTCAAAGAATGGATGCGGAGGCGCCTATGTACGTTAGGCACACGTGGGAGTATGCATGGCGTATCCTAAGCAGGGGCAACCCCTAATTTTTAGGGTTTGTGCCCTATTTAAAAAACTTATGTTGCATTGGTTCCATCTTATGGTTAGCCTCCACTCCTCTAAACCCAAAGAACAAAATCCTAGCCTCCCATAGTGTTTTCTTGAACTTTGGAAGTGATTTTTTTTATGTGTGTGTGTGTGTGTGCGCGCGCGCATTAAAGAAGGTGGTGCTTGGTGACTAGCCTTTCCTTGGACTTGAGGTTGTAGATCCAGGATCTTCATCAAATTTGCTAGCTCCAGAAGGTATATAGTTCTCATATTGAACCTCTTTGTGTTAGATTGAGATTAGGGCTTGTTTTTTTAGCTTATTATGGTCTTATGAGTTCTCCTTGTGAGTTTGAGCCACTTCATGAGCTAGGAATGCTAGATCTTAACCTGTCTGATGTCCCTTGAGTAAAAAATGTTATCTTGATGAATCATATTGGACCATGCACGAGTTACAGTCCTTATTATGGGTCTTAATGGACAAAGTCAAGTTTTGGCTCCCACTAATACATGTAAAGCGGTAAATTTGCGAACTTAATGCATCACTACCTTAAAATGAAGTAGATATGATGTTTGGACGTGAAGAGGTTAAGAGGTTAAGATAAAATTGGACAAATGGGACTTAGGCCGATACGGGGGATGTAATTCCTTCTACGCTGCGCGTAATGGGTCATTTAGTCGTTTGTGAGTCAACATTCATATGTCGTGCGTATGAGGAGCAAGCTGAGCGTACTCTATGAAGTGGACTTTTAATGTTGTGGGCCCTGTTTAGACTCGAGATTCTTTTGGGCTTTGGATTAATTGAATTTTTGGGCCTTATGTCTGTTGGGCCTTAGGTTTGTGAGTTGGGCCTTAGGCCACTATTGGGTTTTTAGGCCAAGTGAGTTAGGCAGATTAAGGGAAGGGTAAAATAGTATTTTACCCTAGGAGTGAAGTTGTGAAGACCTCGGTTACGATTATTGACCCAATTTTTAATTAGGGTTTTATTTGTTTGGTTAGTGAGGTGATTACTAGTTGCAACAACCTGTGTATTTCGTTATCAGTGGAATCGAGGTTAGTTTGCTCACTATATTGTAGCCACTAGGATATGATATGTGGTTGTAGTCTTTCTGACTCCTAATGTAGGTGTTATATGCATGTTTGCGTGTTTTCTATATATATATATATATATATATATATATATATAATATATATATATATATATATATATATTATATATATATGGGGTGAAATAGACCCGATATACCCTTATGCTAAAATATGAGTTGAAATAGACTCAGAGATGAAATAGACCTGGTACAGCTTGGGCCGAAACATTAGTTGAAATATACTCGGGCGTGAAATGGACTAGGGGTGAAATACACCCGATGCAGCCTTCACCTTCAGATATATATGGTATGCAATATTTTGGGGAACTCACGAATTTTCAGTTTTGTTTCAGGTACTTGCGAATCAAATGGGAAGAGGCCGGGCTGATCGCATTGCAGACACCATATCACTCCATATTTATTCAACTCTGATGTGTTTGGAATATTTTGACGTACTCAGATTTCGTTATGATTTTATTAAAATGTTTTTTATGTTGGTTTTGTTATTATAAAAATTAAAATTTTTAGTCTTAAATTTCGAGGCATTACACGTACACCCGAAATCATCCTACCTTCTATACTCAACACATAAAATAATATTCCTGGAAACACAGAAAATGAAAGCTTATTTCATTAAAAGGGTCTTACCCTTACAACCTTAGGACTAACGCATAACTCAAAAGAAAAGATCAGGGACTGGTTAATGCCTCAACTATAAGATAAAGCTCAACCTCTCCGGAAAGGGGTAAGCAACCTTTAGCAGTTCCACTCTAAAAAAGATCCAAAATATGACCTCTAAGTTACGTCTTTCTAACATAGATTTATCAATTTTGTGTAGTGTGACATCTGCAGTGCTTATTGGAGGAAGCCTATACCGGGATGCCCAATAATGCACCAAGATTTCATGTATCAACATTGGCAAAATTCGTATACAATCATGAAAGACAAGCATCACACCTCGAACCCTCATTCTAATACACCTTTTAGCCCAATCAACCTAACTTCAGCCTTTACAGTAGCCAACATAACAACTCCAACAACTGTACCTTTCAGTCAAAATGAAAAAAACTAGTAGTTCGAGTAAGGCCGAGAGAAATATGTTTGGGAGACCTACAAGACCAACCTCTAGAAACAACGACTTGATTACACAAAAATGAACAACTTTGTTACAGTAACTCCTTACAAATACCACAATCACCCAGCAGAACACACCGCCATACATGCCATTGTCGCCGCCATTACCGTACACGCATTACCAATTGTGACATCCGATAATTTAGTTCAAAAAGTATAAACAGTCAATTCACCGCGAACCTCTTTGAAGTTTGACCTATTGAGTTTTAGTGAATCTTTTGGAAAATAAATGGTGTCATTTCAACTATTATAATATAACAATTGGTATATTACTACCAAACGTGGAAACTATCAAACGAATCAAAAAAGCTCAAACTGCTATCGTAGATAATACGTCTAAAAAAGTGAAAATTTGTATTAAGCAATTGTGAGCAAATCAAACATTCTATTCTCATAGTACATGTTCCCGGGTTTCAAAAAATTTAATGAACATCCAAAACGGAGTTCGTATGCAAAAGATATGACAGTTATATGAAAACAAACCATTTTAACAATGATTTTCTTTAAACTCATAAAACTGGATCGATTCATTGAGGAACTTGCACACCTAAGATGGAAATTATGAGAGCTCTTTTGGACTCAGACTATGGTCTAATATTTAATTCCATACTCCAAATATTTTTAGTAAAATTTCTTGGAAAAGTAGAAAAATCAAACGTTTTGGGTCATTTAGATACCAAACTTTAAACGCCATTTCCCGAAGTTGTACAACTTGAAAAAATTAATCCGTTCGGGTTTTTGGAATCCTTGAACTCTACTCTAGCTTACGACACTTTTAAAAAAAATACTAGATGTCGGGTTTTCGATACACAAAGCTAGAGTTGTTGTAAGGACTTTTTGGTAAACATTACATCACCATGGCCCACATAGTTTGCATCAATCATAGTAGCTAGCCAACTCGTCACTCTTTTCCTGCTTGCCCACTTCCAGTGATATTATCCTTTCAAATATGGAGTATAGATAAGAACAAAGGTACAAGGTATGGCTTACATAGTGTGTTTGACTCATTTCCAAAGCATAGGGTGATGCATACTCAGAGAGGCCTTTGTACACAATAAATAGAAGCCATAAACCTTTTACTTTCATCACAAAAACTCAGCTAATAATCTCATTACACTTTGCTCTCCCTTAATTTCTTTTCTTGGCTAGAAAACCCCTACCTAAAAACCACCATTCCCCCATCAGTAAACCACCACTCGACTACCACCACCTTCTACTTTGTGTTTCTATTTGTTTTGTGGTGTTTCATAGTTCAAGACTCGAATTTTTTTATTTTTTATTTTGTGGGTTTAAATCAAGTCCAAAGCAATCGGGTACAAAGTTATTGCTAGATCATGCTTACTTGCGGTTCTTCCCGGAAAAACAAATCCTATTTGTATCTAGTCCGAGTTCACGCATCTAAGGTGAATGATTACGACCCCTATTTTGAAGTTTTTATATTTTGGGGGACGTCACATGCTAAATGATTTTTAGGGGGATGATAT